CCCTACACCTACCCTCTGAATCTGAATCCTGGACTAAATACGACAGAGCTATAAATAGACTCTTACTGCTCTCTTTCTTATCTTTTTTTAGCCTCATGAACAAAAGAAAGATAATTTAAGCAAAGGTTAGCTCTTTCTCTTTGTCCGTCTCTCCAGCTGTACGTCAGTTTTCCCTCTTTTTTTTTCTAGTGGCTTTTGAATAATCAGCTAATTTCAGCCCAAATTTTAGAGACTCATGAAGATAAATACATTCCTAGGGGTTTCATGAAAACTGACAAGTAACCAGAGAAGAAAAGGTCAATTTTTGACTGCATTGAAAGGAAGGCAGCGATAATTTGTCCGTTTTACAATAGGTTTGACAGCAGCCAGCTGGTCAATCAGTATTTTTTTCCTTCAAGTGACCACAATTAAATTTCTCTAGATTAAGAAAAATGTAAGAAAATGGTGTCCCTGGGCGATGAAATCTATCTCCCCCTCTCTTGGGTACTAAAAGGAAAGTATCTTATTTATGGTATTCATTGAATCTTCCTCTGTAGTCAGCAGCCAGAGACCAACATTTGCACACCAAACACTTCATCCAGCCCTGAGAGGCAGCTGTGCCAGGCTGCAGATATCGTAATACTACAGAATGGGTGATGACAGGTTATAGCAAAATCATGAATTGCTATGTTGCTTTTCAGCGTGAAACACAGTCTCCCTTTTGCCTGCCTTTCTGTTATAGAAAAGAGAAAAGAAGGCAAGGTAAAAATGGGGGAAAGAATCGAGCAAAACTTAAGCAGTTTTCTGTTTTTCTTTTTTTTTTTTTCATCACATTAACAGAAACCCTGACATTTGCCATTGTCCTGTCTTCTGCAAAGCCTGTTGCACATCACATCATTGTTTCTTGTGCCTCCGCACTCAGCTAACAATTGTGTTACGCTATGTAAGTGTCAGCAAAGACTCAAAGCACTTGCTGGAAAAAAAGAAAAAAAAAGTACAATTTAGTATATTTTCAAAGGATACCTGGGCCTGGCTGAAATAGCTGTGTAACCACCTCCTCCTCTACTTTTTTACTAGTACCGAAGAGGAGCTCCTGGGGCGGGGTGGGTGGGAGGCCTTTGGCTTGCTGCGATGCAGCTGCTGATGCGAGGCATCTCACCCGGCATCTGGGGAGCTGCCTGTGCCCCTCGGATGCAGGCTGCCGGCGTTGCTCTGGGAAAGGCCACTCGCCTGCTGCTCGAGCCCCCCAGACAGAGGTCCTTGGATACACCTGCAAACGCTCCAGGTTTCATGGGAATCAGCCCAAGGTTCTTCAGGAAGAACAAGTTGTCCAAACGTGTGTGAGCAAGGAAGGTATGGCTCCTTTTTTCATCAGCTATGCAGAAATTAGGCATAATCTATGTACGTTGCATTTTCCCCTGTGCAGAGCAATACCCCCAAAGGGACGTCTCACCTGTGCCAGCATCACAAGAAGTGTGAGCAAACCTGCCGGAGGGCTGGGGGGGATATGCAGCATGCCGAAAAACGAGGGGCCTTCCTTGCAGACATAGACCCAGGATCTATAAAACCATAACCACGGACCATGCTTTGAGAGGCTACATTTTTTTCCCAGTTTGTGACTCTCTCTCAGGGGCAGCCACTGGGCTGGAAGAGCAAATGTGGCAGCAACGTGCCAGTTGACCGGCTTTTCCATCCATGTAACTGGCAGCCGGATCTGGCCCAGGGTTCAACAAGCTGCCTTAGTTGCAGGATATAATCCCCTTAGACAGTGTAATTGCACTTCCAGGCTCAAATGTCTTACATGCTTTACAGTTTTGGGCCATCTTATGATATGCGATAGGAGAGGTTACAGAGGTTAAATTCAGACTAATGAAGCTCTGTCGAAATAAGCTTGAATCGCCTCACGCTGACAAGAAATTTAATATCAAATAGCATTTGTAGCCAGGAAGAAAATAAAGGCACTGCCAACCTGAAAGAGAGATCTCTACGAAACTATTTCTTCTCCGTCAGGCACATGCCCAAGGTAGCGGACATCATGGAGCAGTAACAGAGAGACTCTTGCAGCTCCTGAACTCATGGGCGCTGCTGAAAACTGGCCATCATTTGTGTGCCAAAGATACTGCACAACTATCAGACTTACTCAGTCAATGAGGGGCCAGTGGGAGCCCCATTTCTCTTAATCTTACTGGGTTTGTGCGAACATCATTAAGCTTTGTCTACTTAATTGCATTCGACACGCTTTGATTCTTTCCATTTGATATCAATTAAAAATAACTGGTTTTTTGCTTTAATAAACACTCTCTCTGTTAGTAACTGAACATCAGAGCTTACTGGCACTGAGGTTTTAATTTAAACTGTCCATGAAAAGGGATGTTAGAGTTGCTCTGAATAATTAAAACTTACAGCATGCCACCCTCCAAAGAATCTCAATCTCCATCCAAGTGGGTACTCGCTGTGCTGTTTAACAGGTATTAAAAGATTTACCCAAGCTGTCTGTTTTGCCAGCAGAAATTCAATCTCATCTAAATGTAAATTTAATGACTGCAATTTCAATTTTGATTCATTTCGTGGGAAAGTGAAGTCAAATAAAAAGTTAAAAGTTAAACAAATTGCTTTGGTTTTCATTTATGGCTATAATTTCATTTTGAATGAATATTGTATTTAAAAAATGCTGTATTTATGTAACGCTTAAATTCACTTTCAATTAATGTTGTATTTAATTTTGTTTGGATTAGTATGTGCGGTATACTCACATCATATTGTGGAATTCAATTTTTCAGTGCTTCACAGTAATTTTTTATTTCTGTTCTGTAATAAAATTCTACTGTGAAATTTGGGTTCATATCCATTTCATGAATTCCTACATATTTGGATTAGAACAAAAAACAAATGTAAAAGTAGAAATTTATTTTAGAGCAGACCATTCTTTTCCATCAAACTTGAGTCAGTCAAAATGGGCAAGAGAACTCAGGAACCACAATTCATCGTGCAGAGCTTCATTCCTGTCTATTTGAAATTACCACACTAATGCTATAGGCAGACAAGTGATTAGTTTTTACTGCAGTAAAAAACCTTTTCCATTAGTAACTGAACATCGTGTTTCTCTGACACTGAGATTAAATTTTACCCTCAATGGAAAAGAACGTTAAGGATACTGTGAATACTTCAAACTTGTAATATCCCTTTCCACATGTTATAATATGCACACTTGCATATTTTATCATTTGACATGAAAGAAAAGTCACTTTTGTGATTTAAGAAATGACTTCCCGGATTTCAAAAGATGTTGCCAAGCCTAGACCCTCAGGCAGGAACAGCAAATCGGATTTTCTGTCGTTGTGGTCCTCCTAAGCAGGGGCTGGCCATGGGCTGCAGCACCGTCCCTCCCGCGATCCTCCAGACTGCCTGATTCTAGGCAGGATTTTGGCACAATCCAACTAGACCTTTCCCAGACATTGCCTGGGCAGGGGCTGGGAACTACATGCCAGTAACCACTCCAATAATCTGCATGGATGAGGCCAACCTATCGGTGGGGAGAGGGACAATCTTACCATGTGACTATGGGCCAGACTGGGCTACTTGCCACTAGAGCCGGATTATGGGCTTTGGTACTGTTTTGGTTCCTTAGCTGCAGCCAAAGTGTTTGCTGCCAATCTCTAAATCCTTCTTTTTCTTGTGACCAGGACTGTGCACTGGCCATGTGCATTAGCAGAGTGGGTAGGGCCTGTCTTCCCATGAAATTACAAAAAAAGGTCTTCAGAGCACTGGGGAAGCTCTTCACTGCCTTGGGGTTTTTTTTTTTTTTTCCCCCCAAAATGCCATGACATATACGCAGATTGACAGACTCTCTTATCCTAGTCTCTGATAAAGACGCATTTAGCCCCTCTCTGTTCACTGCTCTCATCAAAACACATATTTTCCAGCCTTTGCAAAGAGGGCCATCTTCCAGCCTTGACTTTCCTAGGGTTCATACACTTTTGACCATCATACAGCAAATGGTGCATTAAAATACTCTGGACTATGCACACCACAAGTCCAATCAGAGAATCCAGCAAGTTTCGGTTGACTAGCTCTTATCTAATATCCAAGTCAAACTGATCTGCAAGACATAAAGAGAATTTTATTTTTGTCCATAATCATTTCTTGATGGATAAGAATTACCATATCACATGCCTCTTCTCAAGACAGGAAGGACTAGTTCATCTTAAAATGTTCCCTTCATGTCAAGAGAGCTTCAAGAAGAGCGTCAAGAAATGAAAATATATTCATATGATATGATATTAGCTCATTTTCTTTGTGTGACCAGTGTTTATCACAGGAAATAAACCAAGGACTATCTGACATTTTGAAGTCTTTAAATAGAAGTTAAATAAGAGAAAGATCAAAATAAGATAATCAGCTTCTTATCATCATTGTTCAAAAAGCCTCTTACATGAAGAGGCTACCTACTCCTTGGCTCAATGCCATTGAGTCTCCTCCTTGGAAAGAGGTCTCCATAGATGTTTCTGCTGAAGTACCCTGAAGCATCCTAGGCAATAGCTTTCTCTCTCTGTTC